ACAAGCCTCCTAAGGCTTGGAGGTGCAGCGGTGAAGCTTCCCTGGGCTTGAATGCCCTTTTGAGCAGCCTGGTGCCGGACTTTCCGCCCTCAACCTAGCTGCCGCATGGCCTAGGAAAGGTGATGCTCCCGGGAGACTTGCTGGGCAGTGGATGCTGAGGTGCACCTGCGTACCCCAGCGGCGTCCCTGAACAGAGAAACAAGACACCGAGACACCAACAGCCCCCAAAACTAGCACATGCTACGGGATTCAGGCAACCAAGACCTGCGACCTCTGACTTTAAGGTGGGCGCATTAAAGAGCATCGTGCGTGGAATCCGGCCCATCTGCCTAAGGCCACCATCTCTCTTGGATGTGGCCATGCCCGGAGAGTCTGAGGGTCACTCTGAGTTGACGTGCTTGTCTCTGAGATCCATGTGCAGCCCATGCTGGTGTGGGTTTTTCCTTTGACGACCTGAGAACCGCACGTGAACTCGTAGATGAAGACGACCCCAAAGGCAGCCGGTGGAACCAACAGGGGAGAGAGGTTGGGGGTCGGCAGCCACGAGTTTAGGTCCAGAATTTCTACTGAACAGGGATCTGACCTGGAGCGGGTCACTTAACATCTGTGGGTCTCTACGTCTCCGTAGTTAAGAAGAGGGGCTGGACCTGCACTCTGTGAAGTTCTACCCCTCTGAAGCCCTCTGTGATGTGGTTTGTTGGATGCATCTCAACCAGGGGTCTCAACCAGGGCAATGTCCCCAGGGGATATTCGGTGATGTCTGGAGTCGTTTTGGGCTGTCGCAACTGCGGTGGGTGCTGCTGGCATCTGGTGGGTGGAGCCCAGGGACGTTGCTCCGCACCCCGCAGTGCGCAGGACGCCCCCCTCACAGAGAGTCCCCCAGCCCCAAATGTCAGCGGTGCTGAGGTTGAGAGAACGTGGATATAGACACGGCCACGTCGCAGCTTCACGGATGCTCCCCACCGGGGAAAGGCTTGGACACGTTTATCTCTCCATGTCTGCCTGGCCCTGGCCGGCCGAGGCTTGGGTCCGATCCATGGACAGCAGGACGTTTGGGACGTTGGTTCCACTCCTGAGGGTAGGGGACCCCCCCAGAGCCTTGGGGACCCCTCTCGTTGCCACAGTGACGTGTGGACCGCTGGGGGGAGGCGCTGGAATCCGCGTCTGCCAGTAGGTGGCGCTGTGGGGAGGCCGATGGAACCCGGCTCCGTCTGCTTTAACCCCAGGTAACCGCACCTGCGGGCTGGGATGCCCCGCACGCCACCCATGCCTTTCCCCTGCGAATGGTAGTCTCACCAAAACAATTCCGAAGCCCCCAGATATCTTTTCGTCATTGTCCCCTGTCCAGGGGCACATGCAGATTAAACCTAAGAGGGTTAGATCTTCCCTGTTTGGAAATTAGGGGAGACATGTCCGCTCACCACCTCCCCTGCCCCCCAATTTTGTTTTCCTTGAGCCTGTATGTTAACAAGCTGGTAAGTGCAAATTCTTGCTCAGTCTTTTTCAAACGTATGCAAATCTTTTTAAGCCAGCCCCGGGTGGGGTCGCCAGCTCCGGAATGTTTCTTGCATTGCCTGGGAGCCGTGGCTTTGAAATGCGATCCTCAAGGAAGAAAAAAAAAGAAAAATGCCAGCGTCTGGGAGGGGAAGGGGCTTAGCTTCCGCTGGCTACGACGACCCCAAATAGCAAAACCCAGAAACCCTCCTGCAGCTGGCTACACACGACAGTTCACGCCCGTTCAAGAACGAAACGGGGTTTTCTTTCTCTTCTAGCCTTGAGGACGGGTTTTATGGGTCGGGAGCAGATTTTCATTTTTAAGTCTATTTCCCCAACACCCCGAACACGCACCGCTCGGGCTGTTTACAATTTCTGTGGCTTATGTTTTGACGGGCAGCCTTCAAATGATCGTCGTATTAGTCAAATATAGATCCGGGTAGGAACATGCCCAGAACGCGGG